GAAGCTGTGGATGGTGCTTAGCAATACACCCATGATACCTCCTTAGGCACCTGCTTACTGTGCATGTTCGCGGTCTCAGTGACAGGCAAATCCGGGACCGGATACAGGCAACCATATATTCATAGAACAGAAAAATGTCCTATGTGGTACCTTAAAACGCTGCCGAAGTGATTAGCTGCGAATTCGCTTGCAAAGTCATAAGAGCAGTTGGCTTTTGTTTTATGCTCCGACGATTGATGAAGTTAGGTCATCTTCGGTGATGACTATCGTCCTATTTTGATTTGTTTCGATTGTAATTATTATAATTATCAAGAGGATAAATGGCAAACGGTTCATGCAAGCCTAGTTCAACCGCCCAGTCTGCCAACGGTGACACATACCATTATCCCCAGGTTCGCTGCAGCAGAAAAGACCAGTAGCTGTAGCATGAACGCAAATGGTGAGAGTTGTCTATAACCCTGTGAGGAGACCAACAGTAAGAGGGGCGCGGAATCCCACCCCACCTCCTTCCATCTGTGTACGTTCGAGAAATGTTTGCTCAATACTAGCTTTCTATGAACCCCATCTAAATTTTCATCGCCAAATCCTCCAGTAAAACCTCCGTATTCCACCCTTGTTAGTTCCTGGAAACTGACCTGCCCACTAAAGTATGTGATAGGAAATCATACGAAAACAGCTCGGGCTTCGCAAACACGGATGAAGAGCCATTTGCGTTCAGGTGATAGCGTGGCCAAAGAGTCGTCGGATGGGTCGAAATTCGTTAACCACCGCTATCAGCCACTCGCGTACATCCGAAGAATTCAGTAGTCGTCTGGTTGCGTGTAACAAGCGGACGACAGAAGCCGTCTGCGGCATATGAAATTCAGATCAGTTAACTCGGTTGTTAATTGGTACACTAGAGTAGGCCAGTGGGAATGTCAACCTTATAATGTGCATAGAACGCAACCGAGTACCACAATCCCTTTGTTTCGACTTCAGGCTCTTCGTGGCACGTATTCTCTCTCGCTTCCACCCGGTTTCTGGCTGGGCTTCGAGGTGTGACTTATTTTCCAACTGCATTCTACAGTTGTCTTTTGCAAAGTGTGGTGCTTCCATCTCTCATCTACTGTATTTGCTTGAAACCAATTTCTATCTTGTGAACACATACTACTGAATTAAAGATCGAACAGGATTTGGTTGTTTGTACTAATTACTTACTATTCCAGGAATAATGAGTGGTGCTATTATAGAAGAGTCCGTTATAACCTTTCACCCTGACACTGCGCATGCAGTTGTCCGTCTAACGTGCCCTGCGGATTGAAATGCTGGCTTTAATGAGTGGCACAATGCGTTTTTCTCGAGTTCGCCTTGGCAAATGGGTGTCTTCCGGTTGGTATTAGAAGACACTGTCGTTGCCAAGTTGTCGTGTACGCACAAGAATTCGACGCATGTTCCCCCTTTCGCAGTTTCCACGAATTCCATCTAATGGTAAACACTTACTCTCGTTGTTCCCACTTCTCGAGCCGTTTTACCCAAAAAATTATGAATCAGCAGGTTGGCACTTACATTGGAACCTGGTTATCCACTTCATTTGGCCCGACACCCTCACCCAGCTCACCGATAACATAAGAAAGAATCAAGTGGATTGTGTCGAACTTATGGGAGTTTGTTTTATGCACGAGCGATGCCTACGCCGTCTCGCAAAGACCATCAGCTCGAGACTATGTGCAGGGTAGACACTCTGGTGGACTGCGCCACTGCGTGATGTATGTTGCGGGGCCAACATGTCAGATGGTACTCGTCTAATCAGACCCAAACGATTGCTGTAAAATACATAATGACCCCTATAACAGGTGTCCTCAGCTATTCAAAACGTTGTCATCTGGTAGAAATAACCTTAGCTTTTGGGCTTACTGGCTTCGAGTCATGAGCGTGCTGCGTACAATTGCTGGGTCCACTTTAGGTACAGCAGACCCTCCGAACTTGACCACTACTCTAACTTGACCGTGTTACTTTCACTGCTAGAACCTTTACCATGTTAAGTTTTTGACAGCTTTTGTCCAATCCTTTGAGTGGTTAACTTACAGACGTTTTACTTTATCACTATGAGTTGGTGCGTCAAACCTTCCGGATCGCTCAACCTTTTTTAAACTGACCACCCTCTATAAAACGTTTTATTTTCCGTTTTCAGATTTCTGCTTTTTTCGTCACAGTGTTCTTCGTTCTTACACTACTGAAGCCTGGTCCGTGTGTGAATGATTGGCCCATCTACCTCGGTCACCGAGCTGCTTGTTCACTTACTAATGTTATTGTACTCTCACTCCAACCCACACTTCGTTGAAAACTTTCAACTGGCCAAGTACTTACCGGATAAACTATGGACTTTTGTGAGAAAGCTACTTCACGGTAGTGGACTTGGGTGATGTGAAAACTGTGGACCATGTGCGCGCTCTGGATCAATACGGTTTCGGTTTGCGGGCGACATAGGCCCGCATACCGCTAGGTGCTACTCAACCTGTTTGCTCTCTACACAGGTCGGGCCAATCACATAGCCTTATTGAGGAGATATTTTCATTTATTGACGCCTGTAATTCACGTTCATTTTTGACCTACATAGTTGTGGTTGTACTAGCCTGAGGATAATTCACTGGAAACAATCTTGTTCGCTATCTCCTACTTCCAATGTTTTCCCGGGGTATTATTTCACAACTCTTCGTGTATGTTGGAAAGTGCGCTACGGAAAACACAACTTGGAGCTCTTGACTACAAACAATACTATGTTGTCGTTGTTGTTTGATTGGCTATTTTTAGAGTAACATATTCTGACAATGTTAGACACCTCACTAGGAAACCGTGTATGTGTGTATCAGACAAGCGGTTAACAACTAAACAGTTACCCCGCATAACAGCTCTCTCCGCGTTTCCTGTTCATAACCTATAAGCCGATCGAGACTATGGGATAATGCATTGCGCGCAACCTGTCTGAGGAGTTCTGCATTAGGCTGAACATTAACAGCATAAAAGATTGGGTTCCGGGTACACATAACGAATTCTTATTGCAGTTGTCTATACTCCGGTGGATCAATCGTTTTCACCTCCAGTACATCGCCAGTAGTTTAGCCCTGTTTAGGGTTGGCCACTGTCCTGGCATCGTGGCTTTTCGTGCGACGTGGGTTTCCATAGGTGTATGCAGCAAGGAATAGTAGCACATGCCTTCACCGGAGGTGCAATCTGCAATGGGGCCGCAAATCAGCATTGGTACTGAAGTACTGGAAACCACCTCCCGCTTCTGCTACCTTGGGAGTGTGATGTCGGCTGACCAGCAGCTACACAGTGAGCTCCGTATCCGCGTCTCGAAGGCAGCGGCGGCATTCGGGAACCTAGAGTATCAAGTGTGGAACAACCATCAGCTTACAGTTGGCAGGAAGCTGATGGTGTACAAATCCATGGTGCCGTCCGTTCTTCTATACGGCAGCGAAACGTGGACGATGTATTGGCGGGATGTGCGATATCTCGAGCGGTTCCATCAACAGTGTTTGCGACGGATTCTGCGCATCGGATGAGGCAACCAAGTTGCGGACACGGAAGTGTTGTGTCGAAGTGAAATGTATGCAGTGGACTGCATACTTTTGCTGAGACACATGAGGTGGCTTGGTCATGTGAGCCGTATGGATTCGACGCGGATACCGAAGCAACTATTATATGGTCAGCTGAGTATTGGGAAGCGGCACGTGGGGAAGCCAAGGTTACGTTATCAGGACATAATCAAAGTGAGCCTCACGTTCTAATCTTGATTGCAGGTCATGGACATAGAAGACGGTTGCTCGGCGTGCATGGCGCGATCTAATCACGAAGGCAGTTGCCGAAATGCGGAAGAAGGACCTCACACATACGCAGAAGAAGGGGCAAGTGCGGAAGCGGCATGCACTGATGGGTTGTACTCCATCGACATCGAGCGCATGGTGCTGTAGCACATGCGGTCGCGAATACCTGCGTCAGGCAGGCCTAGTGAGCCATGAGCGAGGCCACTCGGGACAACCACCGAAGCGACGACGAGTCTTGAGGAGAATGTAGGCAGAACCGGCGCAGCGTTTGTAGGTACGCTGCATTCGATTTACTAACCGCGTGCTTGCATGCTGAGTCTCTTTATTTCATGTGGTGGGTTTGCGATTTTGTCCTAATACTTTTCTTTCTCATTTTAATGTCTACCTGTACTATCTTCTATAAACTTGCACAACTGGCTGAAGCTAATTGTAGTTAACTTCGATAACATTTTCGTGTTTGTAGCATTTGCTTAAAATTTGTTTTCTGATCTCTTGAACTTATCGCGGATTCGTTCGTAATCAATTTATTTCATATGCCCATTTATTGAAGAGTTATGCCGCCGTATCTGTATGCATTATCCGATTTATTTTATTTCATCTTTTCGTTTCAAGTGATTGGCTGTTGCTTGATATCCCCGGTGTGGCTGCGCTTGATGCGCATGTTGACATGGGGCCTACCCGTGTATGACCCACTACCTCATCCATACTGGCTCCAGGAGGCATTTGGTCGTTGCTGGAGGGGACGAGGTGCACAGTCCTTGTGGTCCTGCTAGGATCGAAGAGTGGTTCCATGCACTCAGTGTGGAGCGAACTACGGTCCAGCCACCGTCTTGTGTGTGCGCTTGATTCCCAAATACAGCGTGCTTGTGTTTACCTGTGAAGGAGTGTGGGCCGGCTCCGTTGATGAAACCTGGCTCCCATCCACATGCCTCCCGGTCTTATTCCTCCTGGTTTACACTGGATATGGAGTGTGTGGTTGGAGCTGTGGGTGGTGAGGCGCAAACCATTCATGGTCCCTCTGTAGGCGCAGGCATCCTGTGGCTGTCCACAGTAACAGGCAAATCCGAAACCGGATGCCGCCAACCATGCAGCAAGGAATGCCGACAGTCGATAGTCGTAAATGAATTGCTGGTCCCACAAACATGCACCCCAACGGTGTGGCAGCAGCGCTGAATTGAGTGTGTGTTTACAGTGGATCGAAATTTCACCATGTATTTTCTATATTTTCAGATAAGCACATATGAAATGTCTGAGAATGAAGCAAGGTTGTACAAAGTATAGCATGCAACTGCAAAATTAACTGTTGAGGAGTGCTTGCATCATAATTAAAACTCTGTCTTCTTAGTGCACAAAAGCTGAGGAATTCGTATTTATTTCAGTCAGCTTCACTGATCACTGTTACTTGAATCCGGACGGCGCTTGACCAATCTACCTTCCGAGCCCTCTGTCTTTTCATCATAGTCCATATCGTCCGTAGCGTAGCGTGGCAGAGTCACTTTGTATGTCTGCGAAAAGGGACATATTTTGAAAGGAGGAGTTTAGACTGATATGGCTTATGGTTAGTTTTCTCAAACTTCTGCTATTCTCTGAAATCAAATGGCTTGCGCAAGAGGGTCATATCACTAAGTTACGATTCGCTCCAAATACAAACCGCGCTGCAATCGCATTCAACTATCGAAGTTTCACGGCCTTATGTCCGTTGACCAGTACGTGAGCATTTTGTTGTGTGATCAGTGACGGAGGTATGATGGCATACAGTTTACAGACGAGACTTAGATAACCGTCCGTACCGAAGGTACAAACGCAGCTTCTTTATTCACCAATGCGGCAGTTGAGATATCTTTTTCCAGACACATTGGACCCATGCGGTGCTGCTCAGGTATTTGTGTTCGGTTGGATATACTTCTACTATAGTATACAGGAATGTATTCGCAGTTCCATTAGTATGCTTGGACCGGAGCATGAGTCCATGACTTCGGGGGATTTGGAATATTAATCGGTTTTGTATCTGCTTTTATCTGAGCTGCCTTCCACCCTTGATTTGAGGAAACTCTTGCTTCGAGAGTGAAACGTAGTCACAATAAAAGCACACGAAAAACGGACTGGTTGCCTAAACTCCGAAATTAGCCACGTTTTCCTTTTAAAGCATGGACATTATATGGCGTGCTTTTACATTCAGGCATAAGTCAAGTAGGTAGATCTAGTTTTGAGGTGCAAAATTTAACCAACTTCAAAAGTTTTTGTGTCGTAGCTGTGGATGAAACAGAAAGCCTAATATTGAACAGCAGTTGTTGTGCTTTAGCGTCTGATTTGGATTATCGATGGCAAGAACCGGTTCGTTTCATACGGTGGCTATGCAGATACAGTCTAAGGAGTCATGGTGACTTAATATTGTGAACACAAACTTCTGAAAATAAGACTTACGAAGGCGCTCCGTATATTGTCCTCCTCCGTTTCCTCCGAAGGCTCATCGAACAGGAAGCGAGCAAACAACGCCGTGCTGATAACCAAGAGACCTGCGATCTCCACAAAATAGGTGGCCACGATGAGCATATGGTAGGCATGAGAGTAACTGACCGCTGTTGCTGTCTGCATATGCTGGAATCGAGGAAGCGAATCAAAGCTGGCGGTGTTTTACTGGTATGAACAGGTTTACTGCATACATTTTAACATCAAAATAACAAAATTACTGCTTTACAAATCTATCTACTACACTCTTATATCGTTTTCCGCTTTTCCTACTCTGGTTCTGCGCGTCTGACATTCACACAATCTCTTCCAGTAAAACGCAGCGAGCTGGCGGTGCATAATTATTGATTACAGAGAGCGTGAAATATCATCGTTGAGTTCACCAGGGGCTTGGCCGTCTTAGAGTTTCACACAGGGGTGTTCAGTTGGAGCTGGCTGTAAACACTATACGGACTTGACAACCCTACAACCAACTTTGCGCAATAAGTCATCGCTCAGTCCGATTCGCCCATTTCACCTACTGCGTTGCAACCAATCATCCTCACGGCCTAAAGGACCAACAAGTTAATCTAGTCCCTATGTATTCAAATCAGCCATTCTGATGCTCAGGTTCCGGTCAGGCGCAGTTGAGTTTACACTATGTTGAACGCTGCATGCTTCTCGACAAGGCAAGCGCTTTTGTATCGCCTATTTTTAGTGTCGATATATGTCAATTAACATGGACCAGTGTTTTTTGCCACAATGATTCTAACAGGCGGCTACCACACTTTTCGCTCTTGACTTGGAGTGTCTATCCCTTTTGACTTTATTGGAGACTGAATCTTCAAAGATTCCCCTGCACGGGGGAAGGGACATTAGCACTAAGCCCCGGGAGCATTCTACTTGATGAACTAACTAACGTCCATATAACTCAGCTCGCGTTCCTTTGTTCATGCCAGTTTTTGCTATGCAAGGCGGAATGGTCTGTACAAGCTAATGTGATGGAACTGGTAGCCTTTTGCAACAACGTTGTATCAGTACTTGAACGATATTGTGCTACGCGTGGTCGCGTCTATGATTTCGACTGCATTGGACAGGCGCTACCAGTTCCCACCTTGCACACGAAGAGTGGGGCTACAATCCCCATGGGTATTGAGAACAATGCCCACAAATAGTGAAAGAGGAAAAGGTGAAAAGAATTCATTTGTCTAGATGAAGGGTCCAACTGTGAAGAAACTCATTAAAGTTGGCCAGTCACTATTTGCCATTGTATTTCATAGAGCTGACTTTTTCATATGGAAGGGCTGAACAGTTCTTCTGAACATCAGCAATAGGGTTTAATGTTGTTCCAGTTCTAGCATAGTTTCCACAACTTTGACGGCTCTGAAACGTCTCAGAGCTCAATTTCGCATGTTTCGTGTTGAAGCTAACGGTCTTGTTTTCCCCTCGCCTCTCTGTGGAGTATGCCGGTCAGTGCCTTTGGCATAGTTCAGTGAGTTCCATCCTCAGATGCCTTATTCTTTCAACCCATGTGACCGTGTCATGATGCTAAAAAGAATAGGGAAATATCGGTGTTTCCTGCCTCATTGCTTAACATCAGCTTCAGCCAAACTAAACGCTGCCTGATTCAAAGAAAAGATAACTTGTCCCTTAGCAACACTCTCTGAGCTCCATCCCTCGGTTAAAGAGAAATGTCGGTCATGCTAGCGGCCCCACCGTATTTGTACCACTAGAAGTAATTTTACCTAACCGCCTAAGCTGGCTATTCGCATTTGACTCGACTGCATTCCCCCATTCCTGGAGGATCCACCTAGCAATCTCCTTATGGCCCCGGCTACTCAGAGCCTGAAACATTCTAGTGTAGAGAAAAACGGAGCAATGTACCCGTCGGTCGCCTCATTAAAGACACCGGAAGTGACAACATAGGTCCATCTCCCTTACCGAGCACAGGAGGTGCTACAGATGTTTCACTATGATTTCTGGTGCCTCCGGCTAAACAGTCCAGAATACCTGCAATAGCTCTCGAAGCGGCAGTTGCTGGACGTAATTACAGTGCGTTGACTCCCGTATGCACTGACGTTCCTGAATCCAAGTCTAGAACAATAAATGGCAAGCTACCAAATGATCACATCCAGTGGAATTCCATCTGCTAGGTTATCAGTATTCAGGCTAAACGCACCAGACTGGCCTGTGCAACCGTTCATCCAGATTCAGTGAAGTACATTGAACCTCGAATACTTGCAATAGCACTGAACTCACTAAATGAGATAGAGACCGTCCTTCTGTCAGCAGTTCGTCCTTGCTATCAAAAGCTGCCTTTGAAAGAGTGCTAGAAGGAAACCTACAAGTAAGGTGGCTCTCCAAATAACCCCATCAAGAAAGTCATACTTAAATGCGAGTTCACCGTATCAGTTTCTTGGCCAGATAGTCCTTCACATGCCTCCCAACTGCGGAATCTCATCGTTAAGCCTTAATTTCGAAATCACTTTGCCGTTTTTCTCTGTTTCGGAACGATAGATTCAGAAAGTATGGATTAGTTCTTTTATAAAAAAATGACCTTCGATGTGAACTAGTTGGTTACCCAGAATCCCGTGCACCTGATTCAGTTTCGTATCGGATATGGCTGCAGAACAAGCTCATACATCTAGTTGCCGAAATGTATCCTCCACCAAAATCCACATCGGAGATGGACTACAATCGGAACAACGTTTTGTAGGTTGCACTGAATCATTCGCATGTTCATTGCTGGAGATTTCAGTGCGCGCCACCTGGAATTGCCAACATCCGATGAGGCACAGTTTAAAACCTGTTTGCAATGGTCAATCTTCATACACCCTCTACACTCATCTCACATCAGGTTTCGAACGGCGAACTAGCTGTCCATACTAGGTTTGTGTCTATCAATGAACAATGATTTATGACGGGCATAAAAACAGGTAGGATGGTTGAAGATAAAACTAACAAACCAAAGGATAAGTGAATCGTCTGTTTAAGCGTCCACCGGTTTAACTGCGCTGCTGCGTACCGATAGCTTGAAATGGGATTTGAATGTGCTCTAACAAAGTAATGTGGAGAGCAGTTATAGTTTACGTAATCCGTATTAAAAAAACAAATAGTGGAAATAACGCACAATCGTATGCCCCTTCCTTGGACTGATGTGATGCGTAAATCCAGTTGGGATACATCCTAACGGTATTCCACAGTTGCAGCTTCAAGAAATGAAGTGCAGAAAGTGAAAATGAGCACGTCCGTTGGTAGTGTTAGGTTGGCGTCCGGACATAGAAGGCGATATGGCGTAATGTAACTGCAGGTGTGTACCATCGAGACGTCTTCTGAATACCGTCAGTACGGAGGAAGAAACAACCTAAGTGGGGAGAGCGTTCAAAGGTTGGCACACGCGAAATGCAAAGAAATTCCGGTGGCATTCCAACTGGTTATACCGTGTGGCCAGCTTTAGCTGATGAATTCTCAGAGTATTATAGTGATTTCGCTTCAGAAGGTGACGACAAGTTTGGTTTAAATTCCTCAGGATCAGAAAAGTCATTACTAAATCGCCGCGTACGCGTCAATATCGTCTACTGTAGACCCGCTACGCTTCAACGGGGACATCGAGAAGGTCAGCATTCTGCCGGACTTCACTGATTGGCTATTTCTATCTGAACAATCTCTCGATATCGCATGGGGAGAATTCGCCAACCAGTTAAGCACGTTAGTAACAAACTCATCAGAGACTAAGATGCTTAGCTCGAAAATAATAACTACCTGCCCCGAAGCGGGACACGGGAACGAATGACCTTAAGAAATTCACTTTTACAAGCATACAGAGCCACTACAATCGCCGAAAACTGGAATTCCTACAAAACCGAGCGAATCCACTGTGTCAGACACGTCCGCGATGATAAATTGAATCACCAACAGGATTTAACGAAGGTGTCTTGCTCCTATCCTAAACTACTACATGCATGTAAATAAACTTCGCAAAGTATAGCTTGGCATCCCTCTTCTAAACATTGCGTGTGGGCAAGCGCTAACTGCTCAAAAACCAGCTGATGCTCTTAGACATCAAATCTCTTGCACTTTTTAGAATGCACCACCATTTCATACCATACTTAGATTGATCACATCACTATCAAGGCTTATGCGCATGTCCTTCACTGCTTCGGTTAAACCAAAGCGACTGATGTCACAACATGAGTACCTAAATCTAGACATTATATGCCCCAAGTCACTGAAGGTAGCTGTCACAAGTTTGGCTGAGCCATTGTTTCGGGTTTTCCGGAGCTGTCTCAAGAATATGCAGCTTCCAGTTACGTGGGAGCGTGGAGCCGTCACCTCCATTAAAGATGGGGGCTATCATGCTGTGTCCGCCAGATTATTCTTCTATGGTTTCTGATTTCTGTGGATCCGTCGTTGCAGAAGCACTCATGTGACATTACGAAAGATGCAATATCAGTGTGCTGGAGCAGCAAGCTTCCGCCGGAGCCCCTCATATACCAGGAACCATCTGTTAGCCAGTGCTAGCTGGATGATAGCCGTCGATGTTAGGGAATGAGTCGACGCTACATACCAGGATTTCTCGAAGGCTTTTGAGTGTTTAGATCACCGCATTGCTCTTTACACGCCTCGGAGTTATGCGAACGGCCACTCGATTTTAGGCTGGATACAGTCACTCCTACTCAAATGCCGCCTTCAAATGCGAATTCTTTTTCCAGTGTTCATAACCGACTTTACGGGAGCGCTGACCTCCAATTTTTTTTATTTTTTAAAGACAACGTCAGGATTTTAAGTGCTATCAAGAGCGTAGACGACCACATAGCATTGCAATGTGATCTCAACATGGCTTACATGTGATCAGCTAAGAACATACCTAACTTTAACGCCGTCAAATGTAAACTAATATGTACACGCCACCAGAGAACCTACAGATATCGGCTAAAAAGCAATCTGCAACGCAATTCTTTTGAAAGTGATCTCGTGATGCTCATGCTCGGATGCTAAAGACAGGTTAGTAAAAAATGACAACCAACACTTGGGCCTTTACGGATAGCGTTTGTACGATCTTGTACTGCCTTCCTCAAATGCACAATGCTTAAGTAAGATCACAGGTAGGGTAGGTCATCCAGGTGTGGCAACCTTGGCATAACCAAAAC